ATCATAACCGATAAATTCTTAAGTTTCAAATAGACTTAAATATTCTTATATTTTTCTAAGTACCATTACTAGCTATTATTATTGCTTATAAAAGTTACATCATACTTAAAATTATGATTGAAGTTCCATTATAATGGAGTCCATTGAAGGTTTATTTGTTTTATATAAAAGGAGGTCACGTTACGTTCTTTAAGTGGTAAAATAATGATTCTTTTAAACGAGATTTAACTTTATTTCTCTAGTATATGTAATACGATAAGTGTTATTGTACTTTGATCATTACAATAATTGTTCAGATGCTAATACTCATTTATTGTTTAGGTTAAATATTTTTTATATTTTTTTTTTTCAAGCATGTGTAGTAATCTACATAAGAACTGTATTTTATTTTTATTCACGTTTTTCTTCGGACTCTGGATCCCAAAAGAAATAAACCAGACAATTTTTGAGTTAGATTTGCGCATCAAGGTTTCGATATTTATAAATTACATCATTCTGTTTTTAGTATTTGTTGTTTTAGCGGCAATAGAAATACATCAGCTATCACAGTTTATGAGATCCTGGTGACAAACCGACGGACAGCGGAATCTTATTAAAAGGGGCCCCTTTTTACCCTTTAGGTACGGAACCGTTATAGGAACACTTTCTCGTCCATCTGTCTGTCAATACTCTTAATTTCGGGAATACCTGGTTCCTTAAAGCTGTGAAGTTCCGAGACAAAATGAAACTAAGAAATCAAAATGAAACTTCTAAAATAACGTAAAAAACGATACAATAAAAAACCACACGAAATATTTCGACGCAATCAAGATTTCAAAATTGATATAGGGTACTTCCAGTCGTAGTTTTTGGTATGTTTAATTAATAAGGTTAAAATTATATTACTTGAAGTGTTTTTTTTTTTTGTAATATCTGTTTATGTTCAACGTGATTGTACGCAGGAAGTGTATCCTGGACAACCCTTCGTGGTTTTTGATTTGTACTAATATAAATCGTAAAATAAGTAACCGTAAAGTAATGTAGTAATCTTAAGTAATTGTAAAGTAATCTTAAATTGTATTTATAATGAATAAATAAAAATTTGATGTAGGACTATGAAATAAGGTAAGTAACTTCGTCTTATAGTACAAGTTTACAAACATTCTGAAAACGATACTTTTGTTATTAAATAAATAACAAAAAAAGCCTTTTATTTCTTGCCATTTAGGTACATTGATGATTAAATATTTCAGTAAATTGAAGCAACAGTTTCATTTAAATTAATTATTCAACGTTAATTGCGCACTTCAAGAAATATGTTAATTTCATTTAATATTGATGACGTAATAAATTGAAACGGTAGATTGTAAGATGAAAATTATGAATAAAATAATTATTTTTTGTATTATTCTGGTTTTTCATAAACTACTTATAAGGTAAAATTACGTTTCAAATTCAAAACAATTTATTTGTTGTAGCCTATTATACTAATGTTATAAATAGGAAATATTTGATTGTTGTTTTTTGTGTTGGTTCCGAAAGTACTAGATAAATTAAAAAAAGAACACCCACGTGAAGCTATAGTATATTATACATAGGCATTATACAGTAAATACGAATAAATACGCGGGCATAGTCACGGGATAACAGCTAGAAGATATATGAACATGCAGCAGCACATATTTATCAGCTTATTGCTGAGGCATAGGCCTTCCTTTATGTACAGTTGTGAGAGAATAGAAGTAATAATAACCTCCTGTTATTCTAATGATATAATATGGAAACTTCAATAGTTATCAGTAACATAATATATTTTTATCATTAGTATAACAGCGGGATCTACGGCTTTGTGTCAACCAAAGCACAGAGGAGCTACAGATAATAAATCGGTCAACCGATGCCCTGTCAAAGTGCGTCACCGTTACAACGCACACCGAATAAATAAAAAAACAAAATAAGTTTCCTTAGTGATGTGACATCTCGAATGAAAGTATGTATTATGAGGTTCCAAACTATATTTATAAAATAAAGAGCGTTAAGAAAATTGACGAGAACCATTCGTTTTCATATTCTACTTAATTATTGGATTTAAAAGAATTAATAAAAAAAAGCTAAGGGAAACCAATCATTTTGATACATAATTTTCATTTACAACAAGAGAGTACAATTTATTAAAAACAAATTTCCCGAAAAATGCAAGAAAGTTGACTCCCACAAACTGACATGCCAAAGCTTGTATCATGGTTTTTCTACCGAAAAAAACAGGAATACAGCAATAAAAAACAAATTAAAGCTTAATTAGTTTAGTTTCAGGTGAAATTGTCGCTTAAAGCTCCTTCGCATGTAGATTTATTTGATTGAATAAAATTAGGATTTATTCTCGCCGCCCGTTTCCTGCCTGTGGCCGGGTCACAGAGTACATATTTGGAGATTTTCCTGTTCGTTTAACTTTTACCTTCAGGCGACAAGAAATGTTTATGTTTTTATCGATTTATATTTTAAATCGTTGCTAGCTTTCTGCCAGCGGCTGAACTCGCGTGGTCCCTTAGTGTGGAAAATAGTAGCCCATGTTAAATCCAGGTTTAGAATTTAATTTAATAATTCATATGGATCATAAGGTTTCATATTATGACACGAATATAATTACAGTGACAAATAGAATAGTAAACAACGGTTATTACGGTAACGGGTTAATTCCCTATACAAATTTCCAGTCCTATTTTTATTCCTTTCTTTGCTATTTAGCAGAATAAAATATAGCCTATGTCTACCGCATATCGTTGCCGCATACCACTGTAGTTTTGGAGCCTATTCTATGCAAACAAACAAACAATCAAATATTACTTTTTAAAATATTAGTATAGATACGTTAAAGTTCATAATAATTTACAAAAATATCTATTAGAAATGTAAGCAATTGTTATGTGAAACTTTTTCTTATTGTTTTTTTTTGTCTTTGTCACGGCCAGTTTCACAAACGTATAATTTAATCTGCTTATTGAATTTTCATTAGTTTTCAAAGGCTGGATTCGATAAGAGCAATTAAAGTTAAAGTTTTTGTCAGACAATAACTGTTACGGTGACTTTAACACTGATCGTGGAATGCTCTTGACATAGTAAACCAACAAAGCTTGGACTGTCAAAGACCATAGGTTACAGTTGAAGTTATGACGTCATCTAACTATTGGCTATCTCAGGTCTCCGGGATATCACGCAACTGAATACGGTTTGTATTGTTTTAAGCGCGACATCTATGTTTTACATAAATTAACATAAAAATACAGTTTTCAAACCGAATATGATGACTTGACGAATTTTATGTTGTAGCGGCGGTTTATCATCACCAATTTCATCACCTGGGTGTTTCACATTTTTGTAACTACCTTGTGTTGTTGCGAAAAGGAAATAGTCAAACATTAACTTTGTCGCGGGTAATATACGATGGAATTTTCAACGTTTAACTAAAAGGACTGCGCATGGTTCACACTTTACACCTTGTATCAATTCAATGTTGAAATTTATACCAAAGTGAAAACAATATAAAGCTCATTTTCGTACTGATTGCTGTAAAACGAGTCCGGGAACTTCTTTAAATTTATAGGGCGTAGTTCGTTTAACTTACACCGAATTTCCGTTGAGTGCGAGCGATCGATGCCTTAATGACTTGCAGATTTCTACTTCCTTATTGAGGTAAGATTGTTTTTTAGTTTTTGTAGGTGCCGAGCGTGTAACCCCTTAACGTAATATTTCTTGTCGGGTTTTATCGCAGTCTGTCTATCCATATCTACATTATATAGCTTCAATTACCTAACATTAACGTACTGATAACGCTTCAATAACAAGATGTTTTGATCAAAAATAGATTTGCGTTTGCGTCGTTTATTTGCATCAGAAGAATAACAAAATATATTAAAAAAATATTTTTTAAAACATGCTTATATTTTCGCGCATTAAAAGAAGCACTGAAAAGAAAGAAATGATTTGCATGTAATTTTTTATGTGTAAACCTTAATTCTATTGTCTGAATACAATAAGATGTGAAAAGCGAAAGCTTCTTTAGCCCAAAGCTGCGTTGTAAACAGAGCTCTGAATTATAAGACCACCTTTTGTTTCTAATCGTATTATGTTCTTGCAAATTGTTGCGCTTGTAAGGCACAGAATGTATTAGAATAAATTATTTTCTTCTTTGTACCTAGATAGTGTAATAGACATTTTATGGGATATATCAGAGATTATACGACACGGTTTTGGTTGTTAAAACTACAAAATTTATTATAAACTTAATCTAATCGATATAAATCAAAATTCGTAAATTTTAACACATCCATTTGACTTAAGCTATTATAGCTTGATTGCAGGCCACTTGAACTATTCTAATTGGTAAGGATTTGCCGCGCTCCGTAATATGGCCTTCTGTATCAATAATGAAACACATCCTTATCGTACACATCTACTAGAGAGAACCTTTGTTAACTAAGTTACAAGCTACTAATGTGCTATTAACCTACTTAGATTGAATATCAATGTAGATGGCGGAGACGGTGTGCGATAGATCAAATTTCAAATGCTTTCTTCTACTTTTTAAATTGATAGTGAATGAGTAAAGGTGTAGAATAAGGAAATTAAACTACTAATATAATATTATATTAGTAATATAATTATATAAAAGTGTCTAAGGCCAAACGTGCCCTTTAGATATTCTGGAAAAAAGGAAATACTTATTTTCTCTGTAATAAATGTTTAATAAGGATTTAAAATTCACCGATCGCACAAGGTTCGCGTGATGGGTGTAAATAAATGTAGACCGGAACCAACGATTCCTTCCGAACCACAGAGAAGTCTCATCTGGTCGTCATCCTTCGATTAGCTCTTGCCAAAGTTACTTAACCACTGATTCGTAGAACAGTAATTGAATTGTCTTTTTCCGTGTCCATATTAGGTAATATCTTGAATTTCCGCAATTGCTTATACATTTTAGCACCGGTTCAAGTTTTATATAATGTTGTTTTCATTGCCTCCAGGGCATCAGATCGGTCACCTTTCGACGGTTCCTGCTGCTCGGGATATCGGCCCGTTGACTCAGCCAGCCTCACAACACCAGACGAAGATGACTTAGATCAGGTACGTAACAAAAAAAGAAAATATATATGTTATGGACCAGGTGATAAACTTTAGGGCGAAATAAAAAATAATGATTTGGACTCAAATAGAATGATTTTCCTTATTTATCTCAATTGCGAGTGAGATGGCTATAATATGATGTTCGGGCAATGTGATAAATACCTAACACACGAGTATATTATAAGAGCTGCAGAGCAGACAAGAATTGATTTTATAAAAGAGACTCACTATTATGAAACGAAGTAATTTAGTCAATATCGTCACGTCAACTATTTTTATTTGTCATAGGTATGACTGTGGTATTACTGTGGTATTGAAAAAAAATCTTTTATATTTGTAATATAAATAATTTAAAAATAATGATTAATATATTTATCAAATTGCCAGCAAATATATGTCGCATCATCTTTACGAAGATCACTTGATTTAGTTACTTTTTTTTTTAAATTGCTAGTTACTCGATTACTTAATTACTCGATTGTAGAGAGATCGTGATCATCAATACTTCTAATTTTATTAGAATGGTGACACTGACTTTGACAGTTCGTTAACAAAAGCTAATTGCCGCCATTTTTGGGACACATTCTGTTTCCGATCGCGGAGGAGTAAAGACATCTGACGACATCACGCTCATCTCGTTATATTTTCGTGTGAAAAGTGATAAAATGGAACAAATCCACGTTGGTATACACGCCTGCAGTGTTATTTTAAAGATAGTCCTCCGACATGGACGATCTATTTGGGCTTCGTAATAGCCCCTTCGGACTACCCGTCGTTATATACAATACTGAAAATATGCAAAGTTCGCTTCACAAATTATAACCATTAATATGATTACTCATCTTGTCCGTGGCATATTAAATACATTATGATAATTTATTACTGATTTACAATATTAAAATATATTTCTTATTTCTGTTGGCTCTGGGGCTGCCGATGTATGGACGCTGAAACACCCGCTAAATCAGTCCATTCTCCTCATTTGATTGGTTCCATTCATAGGTGAGTGTCCCAAGAATTGGGACATTGATGATTATAATGCTATACGTCAACACAAATATCACTTATATAAGAGTCTTGGAACTGGCAAAAAACATGCCAGTAAACATGCTTTCTTATAAAAAAAATGATTTTTTAGTAATCAAAGAATGAATACCCTTATAACTTGATTATACTTTAACAAAATGCAAGTGCTCATGTTATAAAGTTTTATCAGGAAATACACCTGTTCTTTTGCCAAAAATTATCTAGGTACTGATAATAAATATCTAAATTAGTATTTTCCTGTACCACAAAGTGTTTCTAGTAAATAGTGTAGTCTTTGATTACCAAAAACGTTTTGTAGTAAAGTTTAAATAAAACGGAACAAATTGTGTGCTCCCGATTACACTCAAAAAGTTTCCTCTACATTAGTTTGAAAAAGTTTCGTAACAAATTTAAAGTTGTTACACTTGAAATTTCAACATGTGAGATCAAAGATGTTGAGAGAGAGAGAGAGAATAATAAATTTCCGCCACTGACTTTGAATTATACCATCAAACCTTAATGGTTTAAAATCAAGAGTTAAAAATTTACAGATTTATGGGTATATCTTCACGTTCTATTGAGAGTACTTTATATCTATGTAAAAAAAAAATATAAAGTATGCGTTGTAACCTTAAAATAAAATGTGGTTTACAAAGCTTTTGAACAATAATTCTATTTAATTTTCGGGTCAGACCTTAATTACGACTGGCTGAATAACTGATTTGACTTTGAGTACAAAGCCCTATAAATAAAGTTAATAAGCACACAATAGTACATCCGTTTACCACCAAAATGTCAATTAGATTTTGAAGTTTAACGTAAAGGTCATAGCACATTTACAGCCCGGCGATTTACTTGCCATTTAAATTTATTTATGAAATCGTAATTCATAATAACATATTTCATAACGTCAATATAAAAAAAAGACAATGGCAGATGGCAACTTCAAGTTTTTAAATATTGACGTCATTACATGTATTATTTCTTATAATCTTAATTAACAAGAATATAATATCGTTGTAGTCTTGAATTATGACGTATTGACGACGTATCACATTGACTAAGATAGGATGTTACGCATTAATTTCAATTGTTGCATAGTGAGAAGCCGAATGCATTATTAATAGTACACACATGCAACATTATGATATTACCACAGTGTAAAAACTAACAGTGGGAAAAGGAACCATATCTTCATTACATGAATCCTTTAGAGCTGTGAAAAAACAAATTAATGAAAAATAAAACCGCTGCATATTTTGACTGTAATAGGGGAATTATTATAATAAAGAATAACTTTGTATAAAGTAACTGAAATATTAATTCATATGTCAAAATTAAGCCCCAAAAATGATTTTTCAGGCTGACAGATCAATTGATAGCAGACTAGTCATGATTGGTATGCCATTAATTTTGACAGATTTATAAGGTGTTCATTTATGTGGTAGTGCTCCTGAACTACCAAATGTACGACCAGTATCAAAGTAAGTAGATAAACAAAAATAAACAATACAGATTTTTTTATTCATTAGAAAAACAAAACAATTGAAAGATTTTCTTTCAATTCATCCGTTTTGTTGACAGAATACCGTCTATAAACAATCTGTTCGTAAACAATTCATTTGAAAGAACTCAATATTATTGAGTGCAGAAACAGCAAGCGAAACATAGTTCACGATGTTTCCCCTACTAAGAGTCTCTACCGACTTCGGTGATAGATTTTATCTTGTGAAATTAAATAGAAGGTTCTTGAGTCTACGTAATTTTTATGTTATATTTTATCAACAATATTAAATAAAATACAAATCAATCAATCAATTTCATACAAATAATAATATTGCAAAATAATATGAAATTTATAAATCTGTCTTAATTAAATTATATGTATATTATATTATTAATGAAATCATGTGACTGTTAATAATAATTTATGAACTTATCATTTTATATTTTTGTCTTTGATGTTATAAATTGCCCGACCATTTATTTTATTTTTGATATGAAGTCCTCCTCTCTCTAAAGTATTGCTGTGCCCGATATGGTCCATAGTTTGATTCTGATATTACTGTTTTATAACGTCTATGTAACACTATGGTTTGCAATAAACATTTGAGTATTGAGTATGTAGGTATAACCCTAAACCACGCATAGGGAGAATACCCGGTTTTGGCCACTGCCCCCCTTTTGGGCATTTGGTACTTGTACGCACTATCTGTCTCAATTACTCTCTCAGTGGTTGACACTCTAAGGCCTAACAACGGTGGTTGTAATCGTTTATGCATGTGAAATTGTCATGTGCATGTGAAAAATATCGAAGCTTCACAATTATAGCAATGGGTATCTGCAAGAAAACGCCTGATTAAAAACACTTTCGAGAAAGTTTTTTCGGTAACTTTTTTTTGGTGAATCTATGCTAATCCCGCGGTAATAGTAAAATATAGCCTACGTTACCCGTTTTATATCGGAGAAATAATTTTGAAAATCGGTCCAGTAGCTTTTGAGTTTGTTCATTACAAACAAATATATCCACTTTCCAAAACAAATTGTGTAATGTTAAAAGCAAAATTAAAATCATACTTAAGTTAACATAAGTATATATTTTTATTTTATTTCTAACAGAATTATTCGTAGTTATTTTTTCCTTTAAAGACTTAAAAAAATCAATAAAGCTTATGGTAGGAGCAAAGGCATCCCAATTGCACGATATTTCATTGACAAACAGATCGGAAAATTAAAACTGGAGATTGCTTGGAATAAATTAAAAACGAAATCCAAGGAAAGAAGGAATAATAAAAACCAATATCTAAAAAAGTTTATTGCTTTCATGCTCTCTCTTTCTTTTTCTATTAACATTAAAGTGATCGAGCGTTTGATTTTTATCGTTCATTGTCTTTCAAACTCTGAGAATGATATTCGATATTGGTAAACAATCGCAATCGCTGTGATAATGTGAAAAAATGATGCCTTCTTTTAGAGTAGAGATTCTCAACATTTTGCTAGAAACCTATTAGCGCTTAAAATTGTTTCACATGAGCACACAGTTATATTATAAAATACTATACTCGTAGTAATATCCACTTTTTCCTATCCATTTGAACACCCATTTAAAACACAAAATGACATTGTAAAATTTTGCTCGCCTAATTATATTACATAAATGCATTATGTGTTGTATGATTATATTATTATCGATAGCAATAATTTTACATTTTACGTGTGACCTGGGCTCAATTCCCGGTCACGTCTATGTAGAAAATGGACTTTTCTTTATTTTCTCGGGTCTAAGTGTTGTGGTATTTTCGTTGTATTAGATACTCCATAATACGGGAGCTTTAGTTACTCGTCATGGAAATTGAGCAATGTATATTTTTATTTATTTCTTATTATTATTTATTTGTATTACTTTGGAGTTTGACTAAAATATCACTACTTTTAGGCCCGTACCTCAAAAACGATGGTAGAATTCCAATTCGATTATTCTGTCTATCTGAAAATAACCATTAGTTACCTAATTAGTTTAACTGCTTTGATATAAACCAAGCGCCTAACTGAGCGCTGTCATAGCATTAGAGGTTCAATTAAATAAAATCTTTAACTTTAAAAATTGCTTCTAATATTTAACACAATAGCACTGTTGGACCGTTTGATTTAGTCCAATAAACTTAAGTTTTTCTTATTCAAACAAAATGTTTCGAACCACTGGTTTCAGAGATCATCAATCAGGCGACGAATCAAGCGTATTTTATAGAAAATCACTTTGGTTCGAGGTTAATTTAATTTTCTGCCAACTTATAGCATATTAGCTGTTTTCCTAAGACTTCGTCCATATAAATTATAGTCTATATCATCCACGAATGATTTAACTTCACGTAGGTTAAAGAATTCTCATTATCAGATTAGTATTTCTGATGATTATGCCTATAAACAAAGTTATATCTATCATATTACTATAGAAATATGATAGAGCGGTAAAATTTAATCTTTATACCAGTTCCGTTGCGGTATTGGCAGAGAAAACCGAGCGTAACAATGTCTTTCGTTTCTTTGACAATCACAGCTTTTTCATACATAGCGATTTCATGATTTTAGAGATCGTCTTCCAGTATAAACTTTTAAGCTTTCTCCTTTCATTATATTAGATTGTATGAAACGGTTATTGTATGAATCTATCGCGTTAATACCCGTTTTATACCATATAATCATCTTTCTAAGGCATGTGATTGCTTTGATAGTGAAAAATATGTCTTGGTCTTTTACGGCTACTTTAAATTTCACTTTAGAAATGTACATTAGTTTTAACATTCATAAATAAAAATACTTAAATAAACCGACGGTCTCAGATGCCTGAGATATTTTTATATTAGTCTCTTTAATATTTTATATTAGAACTAAAACTTAAATTCAAAATAGCATAATAATTAGTTTCACATTCTTAATCTCATTCCCCTTTCCTTGGACCGCTTTCCAATCTAATAAATTGCTGGTGAATGAAAGGTCATAGAGCGACGACTATGCCTAACTTGTGAAACCTGAAAATTTTTGGCCACATTACCAGGAACAAGAACCCCATGGAAAGATTGATAGTACAGTTCTGCGTTGAGGGCAAGAGATCAAAAGGCTCGCCTACACGATGAACAGAACTTGTAAAATCAATGTTAGAGAGTTCTCGCAGCGCAGTGAACTAACAGAATAGAATAGAATAGAATAAATTTATTTGCAAGAAACATGGAAACATTATAGCCGGTTAGTTACAATAAGAGACACACATATTTCACCCAAAGTATGGCATGCAAAATTTTTTTTTCATCAATTTATCAATATAAATTGAACAATAAGAATTTAACAATTTCATATCACAAGTCAATCAATCAAAACAAAAATATTACAATTTTATAACATAACAATAAAAACATGAATTATGTCATTACTCGTAAATATAATTTTATTTAATGTCAAAATATCAGACTATATTAATTATTATTGAAATATTCATTTAGTTTATATGGAGACTTTATAGTCAACCATTTACGCAAAGCTGTAGCGAACCGGCTTGCAGGCAGTTTTCTAATATGCATAGGAATATTATTGTACACCATAATGCACATGCCGTAGCAATTTCTTTGAAAAAATGCACTTCCCAACGATGATTGCTGTTGCAATCGTGTTCCATCTTTCGGACGCAGTCGAGGATTTTTCATAGTGTCAAAGAAATGGAGTGATATTGCTAGAGAAGCAGTTCGGGTCAGAATGTCCGAAGAGTGAATGGCTGGTATACCATCTGAACAACCACCACCACTCTATCAAGAGTGCACGATTGAGAAGAAGAAGAAGAACTAAATCCCATTACTTATAAGAGGGCACCGCTTGCATATACATCTAAAGTCGAGTAGAGCTAATTACTTGAGTAAAAGATATAACTCGAGCAAGAAATTTCTATCAATAAACAAGATTTTAAAAAAGTGAACACTTTAAGTTGGTTACTATTGTTATTAGCTATTTGCAGTTCTTTTTATTCGCTCAAGTATTTATCTCGACTATAGATGCGAGTGGTAGATTGACATTTTTAAGGTTGAATATGGAAGATTTCATACGACTAAATTGCTCGTACAATCTCAGAATATCCCGAAACATGATATCAATAGACCGAAAAATAATATACCAACACAAAAGAAGTGTTACCGCAAGATAAAGGGACTCTTTTGTCGCAAAATATTATAATAAGCCTGAACGCTTTATATCACGAAAATGATTAGAATGTTATGAAAGAGTTAAGATTATGTTTTACGTTGGAAAAACATCATATTTTTCCCTCGTATACCGTATATTGTCTATACAGGTTTATTGAAGCAACCTCATAGGATTTTTCAATATAGGGTTGGTGATTCAGTCGCTCAACAGGATCTATTAGTAACTATTTCAATCTTCAAACTTAAATATTAATCTTTTTTCATTTTCGCCATTTTTTATCTCTGGTGGCATTACCGTATTTCTAACAACCATGAATCCTAATTATAAGGCTGTATACAGGCATGGATACGTGTCAGTTATGAGCTGCATGGTTACTCTTGAACATTGCAATTGTATCGTTTCGTACTCATGATTGGGTATTGCTCAAGATCAGCGTCGGACTGTCCAAGACATCCGACACATGCCGAGTGGTTGCCTTTTCATTATAGTATAATATCCTTTTTGTCTTTGTTTTTCTTGTTTGGTCACTGAATAATTAAGTTTCTTTCTTTCTTTCTATCTGTTCTTTCACTAGCATACTCTGGCGCTACCTAGCCAATAAGAATAAATTTAATAGCATTGAGGCATTGAGGAGATTATATGCTAAATAAGAAGTACAGCCATTGATTTTGTTGCAATAAATGAATCACATTATCAAAATCTGTTTTAAAAAGTTTGCTGCTACTAGTGCACCCATTCTATATTGAGAATTTAAATTGAATATTCAAAAATCTTACAAAGAGAGTAAAGAGTAGTCGATAGAATTGCTAAAGGTTACAGGGTACCTTAAATTATTGATTTCTTAAGTATTTTTTTTATAATATAAATCGATAATGTTATGCTTAATGACCGAAACCGCTCACAACCAAACATCCACATGATGAAATTCGTGTTATTGCTCTAATGACAACGCTATATAAAATCGTATCACGATGTATGTCTGAACCGATTTTAATCAAACTTCCCATGTACCTGTAATCTGTTCAAACTTTAACGTTTTTTTCGCAATATTTATCTCAACATACAATTACTGAGGCACAAAATATATACTAGCTGACCCAGCCACGCTATATATATATATATATTCCTGGCACTCTGCGATGGGATGCCAGGGAGGGACAAAGTGGGTTTATTTAAGCATTTTTCATAAAGAATATTTTTCAGTATAGCATTGTGAATGCAAAATTGATCAAATATAATAACTTACGAATTATTTAAATTTTATTTGTTTGAATTGTAATAAATTTTAATATTAATTCAAGAAACAATCACCATTATCATCAGCCTACCTTAACATGCCTACAAGAAAGCACGGAGGCGCTCGAGAAAATAAACATATTGTCACCCATCTAATAGGTAGTTGAAACTGCTGGCAACTAAGTTTAGTTAATCTTTAGAAGCTATTATCAAGTTATGTTTTTAAGAAAGATTTTGTTTACTTTTGTTTTTATAGTTTTTTTTCTTTTTTATTTTCTCTACATTACACGAATATTTTTATTGAAACTTTACTTGGAAACTGTGTCTCTAAGTTCAGTCCCTATTACGGCCCTTGCTAGAGTTGATAAGGTTCCTTGGCAGGCCTAACTTTCTAACCACTGCGCTATTGACCTCTTCAAATTAAGGGAAAACAGTAAAATTTAATTGAATTATTAAAATATACTAGACAACTAAGCCAAAAGATGCCAAATTGCCTTTTTTAAAGCATCTATTATCGTGATATCCTATTTGAAGGACAAACTAATGCATATTTAGAACATAATATGACAAAACCCTTTTACAAAAGGGACACATTAAAAATAACTCCCATTGTTATCACAATAACCTTGACATCGTTATATTTTGTAGTATAATAATGGAAAATTACGACATGTTCATTCTCGGTTGATTTGGTTCTGTTGATTTTCGCACGCCAACAGAAGGACTACTCTGTTTCTCCGAAAACGAAAATTCGTATATTTTCGAAACCCTAATAAGACCCTAAAGGAATACATTTTTCGATAATTATTAAAAAAATGGAGTTAGGATCCTGACACTGCTTCTGATGCACAGATAATATTGACGAATATAATTTAAAAAAAAATGTAAGAACAATTCGAAATTTTTACAACAGAGTAGCCCTTCAGAATCAAAACCGAAAATGCTTGTAGTTTGATATTTTTTTTACATCACATAAAAGACTTGAATTATGTAGTATCTCAAACAACGAAGACACCATAACATCCAAAGCCGAGATAATACAGTGGACCTGCGGTGATCTGACAAACGCTTTACAGGGCAATGGGGCAAGTCAAATTATTGAACTAGACAGATTATTGAGTATTGCATAGAGTTCGGTGCAGTAGGACTATTCCCCACGGACATGTATTAATAGTGACTCTATCAATCAAAGAACAGATGTAACAACGTTTAATGAAATAAAAATTCTTTACTAAACCATTCAATATGAAGTAGTAACCCGAATACCATTTTATTCGGGTTAAGCCATTGCTTTATTGTGTATATTTATAATAGATAAAAATTCTCAAATTTGTTTCTCTAGATCGGAAATTCAAGAGAACTCTGTTGAGATCGTAGTTTTAATGATTTGTTTATCCCACAGTAATGGATCAAGAATTATGTCGTAGGTTTATAATAAATTTTCAAAATTGAACTACTACGATATTTTATAGGCAAACATAACAATCTTTATTAAACTTCCGTAAGAAAAGGGTAAAAATGGGAACTTTTTGTTGAGACGTTCTTCAGTCTTATGCCTTATGAGCTGTATGGACAGTTTAAATTTTCACAGATGATGTATTTTTGTTCCTGCTATAACAAAAATTATTATAAAGGTATAAAATAAATATTTGAATACTATATTAATTAATTATAAGTATACGTAGTCAATCGTTAAAATAAGTATTTGGTATTTGTTAAAGATACCAAAGTACCGAGTGGTGCTTCTCGGAGACGCTGGCGTCGGGAAGACAGCTTTGGTATCCCAGTTCATGACGTCAGAATACATGAACACCTATGACGCAAGTTTGGGTAAGTTTTATACACCTAGATCAAGTTCATAGAAAGGTTAGTCTTATAATTCATATACTCATGTTTTTAACCATGTTTACATTAACGAATTCTAATTTATATACAAGCTTATATTCAGCTCACCTATATTTAAAAACAATTACTTCACATACAGATCTAAAACGAGGGAGTCCGATGTCGCCGCATTTTGCACAAAATTGACAGAAAAAAAAAATACAAAATATGCCAATCCTTTTAAAAAATACAAAGTTGTTTATGTGTGTCTTCAAACATTTTGGCGTCACGTACCGTATTATTAAAAATTGAGTTTTAATAGTTTACGTGCAGTTGTCAATTTTGTTAACAACATCGCCACTCATAATAATCGCGGCCTGCACTCTATCTCTCTTTAGTTTCAGATATCTATGATACTACTAGACAAGATGCCGTGCAATTCTGTAAAAAAATTTCGAACAAAGGAAAGCTGAATCTGCTGCGAGATTCGAATTTCGTATTCTGTATAACTCGAAAACTCATTGTCGCGGAATGAATTTGAACTAAGTTAAGTGAGATTTTGACGCTAATTAACCCAGCCACTATTTTCTAAATTTCATCTAAAACTGGCATTAGCGTCTTGACTATATCAAATTAACTCAATATTTTTTATTTAGTACATATAAATATTAAATAAGGTTGATTAAACTACTTCATTGATATTTTGATTCCGTTATTTGTATAGAAATACAAAACATTATACATTGATTAATAACATTAAAATTATACATTGAGTGTCTCAGATATTCCATTAATATATTATTTCTAAACTCACTTCACATATGCGACGAAATTTGAATGCCAAATCAAGGTTAATCGAAATGAATTTAGTCACCTGAGTGAATTCGAATTTAGGCTCGGATTTTTACGGAATCACCCTGCTTTTATGAACTAAAATTATGACATAGTATAATGTGCATGGGGCTTATGGCGGTCTCACTAAGAAGGAGTAAGCCAGACAGCTATTACATTAGACTAACAATGTAGTTGTGTTGATGACACACCAACTTGGCGAGTAATTTTCTTGTCTAGTAATATACATAGAAGCAATACAAGTGTTTGATTAACAATTATAAAACAACCTTAAAAAAATATTTATTTATGTAACTATGGTTATCGACATGAATTAGACTTCTATATTTTGAAAAACAAAATTGTCCTTTATAAAGACGTAAAATCATGTTTTATAATTAGTTAGCTAATTTCATACGTATATTTTTTAAATAATTGAATTCGACTGGTCCCGTTGATGATGATATTGTTTATTTCTATAATAAAAAACCGAAGGAGTAAAGCAATGGAAATGTCTTTACACTATACAAATGAATCACAGGTGACATTCCAATTCTGATGCATATCATCAGAATTCGATGTCACCTCACGCTCACGCTCGTAGGTGTGCGAATATAATCTTCAAATTCATTTTTTTCGATGGCTTGTCGCATTCGTATTGATTTGAGTTAATATTGTATAGGGAAATAGTTAATAATAAGATTTAGTTGATAAAAAGTGTTCAAATGTTATTATGTTATTTACGTAAATTTTGCATTTGAAATACTCTCTCGTCATTTGTCTTATAGACTAAAAGTAAAAACGTTATGTGTTTGTCACCAGCCAGCGAGCAACTCCATTTATCTCGTGAACCGCTTTGAAAATTTGACTGATTTCCAAAGGAACTCATATTTACTATATTTCTACGATATTCCCAAAACTTGTAAATAATGTGAAAAAAAAGATGAAGATTTGAAATCTATCGAGTTACCCTTTGTTTCCTTGGGTTTCAGTCCGTTTGAACCACTTTGCTAAAAGCTTTGCTATATCGTATGTCATCCTCATATGATATAGCTTCCCGTTGGTGAAAGAAATTTTAAAATCGTTGTAGTAGTTTCAGAGCCTATTCAACGCAACAAACAAATAAAATATAAGTAAAGTAAATATACACCACCACCACCAGCCCTTTTACGTCCCCACTGCAGGGGCTCAGGCCTTCCTTATGGATGGTTAAGGAGGATGGGCCATGACCCTCCACGCTGGCCCAATGCGGATTGGAGAGCATTAACGACTGCAAATGCAGCCGGGACCAACGGCTTAACGTGCCTTCCGAAGCACGGAGTAGCTCGAGATAATAATTTTTGGTCACCCATCCCGTGACCGACCCTTGCGAAAGTTGCTTAACGACAACGATCGCGGGCCGCGGCGCATATCCACTACGCCACCGAGCTACTTAAAAGTAAATATAAGTAACATTAACTTCATTTATATGATCTTTTCAACGGGACTGGTGCTTTGTTTAGATATAGCAATGTGTATTATATGAAAGGCCGTAAGGGATAAGCAGACCGTACGAACTTTCATGTTTCGACTTTCCAGTTCGATGTTTGATGTATTAGATTAATATTGACATAAGTTCCAGACTTTGGTGTTTAGATATTTTGTTTTAATTTCAAATGTATTTTATCTTTACAAAATGTCGATAGAATTGATGTTTATTTGACAACCCACATAATATTACACAGTATATGTAAAGTACAGATAATACACTATAACAGATGAAACACGAATAAATTGTCCGATATTGTGTATTGTCGAACTGCCCGTAGCCACACTTCAGCTTTTATCCAACAGGCAGTGCCTCGCAAAGCCATGGTCAAAGGGATAGCTACAAAATGTTTAATTGTTTTTGTCAATCGATATGTTTTAAGGGTCCCGTGCCCAAAGGGTAGAACGGGAACCCTATTACCAAAACGAAGGCGCCTTAACAATTAATCATACGTGACTTTTTTGCTCGTTTTCGGTGCGGAACCTATCGGGCACTAGTCGGACCCGCAATCGGCCGGTTATTTATTTTATATTTGTCATTTCGGCGCCATGATTGTGCCACTTGTAACAGATTAATATCGAGAACATAAGCAATTCCGTAGTTAGATTTCGTTATAAAGGCTAAATACTTTGTTGCTATTACATCCTATTAATATTATAAATGTGGAAGTTTCTTTGTTTGGATGTTTAGATGTTTGGATGTTTGTGCGTCAAGCATGCCGAAACTACTGTACGGATTTTGATGAAATATGGTATACAGATAGGGTATTAGCAGGCTTAGATAATAGGACACTTTTTATCCCACTAAACATTTCCCTAGGGTCCACGCGGGCGAAGCCGCTGGCGAAAGCTAGTATACTTAAAAAATAAGTTTTCAAATTATTTTTCTTTGTCTAAATTCGAAAGTTTTTGATCATATTTATTCATAATCATATATTTATATTAATCTCATGCACTTGAATCTGTATAAATAATAAAAAAATAAATTCATTTAAAAATATGTATCTAAAAACAATGAAACAAACTTAAAGACGTCTTTGGCTATGGCTTTGTAGTTAGACGATTGACCACATTTTGTGGCAGCTAACAATTGCAACAACAACAAAAAAATAAAATAGAAGAACAAGAAATATATCGGTGTGTCATTACATCACATACTTCACATGGGAACTACTAAAGTTTAAAATATTTACGGTGAGCATGAATTTAGATTGGCTGTTTTATACGATTACATATAGTGGATAACTAATTCATGCATGGTAATTTCAAAAAGTACTGCTGTTATAGAGTTTTACAGGAAATTATTTGTATATTATAGCGTATCTAGCATAGAGGATAGATATATCACTATACGAATTAAAATATGCAGTTATGCAGCTACGCAATAATATGCACTTTTAATACTTTATGGTGATAAAAAGAAAACTAGTATTTAAACGGGTTTTTGAATGTTTTTTAAGAATAAATTTAGTAAATAAAACTTATACCTAACAATGTATTCGTTAGCGTTTATTTATATAATGCTCCTTCGGGTGCTTGAGCACGTCAGGTTATTATTATTATTTGTTTTTATTTCTTTTTTATGTATATTTCTTATTGGTTATATTGTCTGACGTGCAGTTGAGTTGTTACGGTGGGTCGCACTTGACACTGCAAAAGGAAGATAGAACGTAACGTTGTTCGAAGTCGACGGATTTTTTTTTTGCATAACTCATTCGTTTAAAACCATATCGATTGCTTCGATTGATACATTAATCGATAATTCTATGCAGGATACCTCACTATCAAATTCAAATTGAAAAATGTTAGGTGGGACCTATTATAATGACACAACGCAACTGAAGTTGTAAATAAATATATCGACGCTGGAAAGCAAACACGTAGTAAAGGATATTTAGAATGGAAAATCTTTATATTTTTCCAAGAAAAAATATCTTCTTTCCGTATAAATTGACTAAGGAACACCTAATTTGTTACCATGGACTTTTATAGGAATTATTTATCGAAAAAAATTAAAGTTTTTCTGCTCTAAAGAACAATTTTGGTTTTGCGGGTTACTAGGTGTTTGCTTTCCAGCGTCGATATGGTAAAACTTAGTATGGCACTCCACTACAGGGGCTTTCAGAATAGCGCTTTTGTGATGTTTACTATCACAAAAGATATCACTGAGAGAGCCACCTGGTTGGCCTCCCAATATATCTTTGTGCCTTTTTTTCTTTATATTTTTTTCTATAATGTTGTATACCTGTATTGTGAAGGCCCATAATAACATTTTCTTTCTTCTTTCTTTCCTTCTACTCTGTAATAAAATAAGTCTCGAAGTTAATGTCAAGTAGAACGCTGTGAAAACGTTTCAATTAAATTATAACCTTTTAAAGTAGGTTAAGATTTTACGCAGAGAAAATTGCAGTCCGGAAACTAGGCCTCCATTATTTTTGTAAAGTAATGGTGTAGCCAAAATGAGATATGGCTTCGTGACGGGCATCAGGCCTCAATGACAAGGCAAGCTGTCAATTACACTCCGACTGTAGTGATGACGTCAGTGACCCGTATACGAGCCCTTAACCATAGAATGTGCGAAGATAGATTAAGCTAAAAGAGGTTTTTACATTATTTTCATTATCTTTGTATCGATGTTAAAAAGAAGG